GACATTCAGTTTTATTAAATATTCTATCTTCCTGTTTTCACAATTGTTGGAGAAATTGGTCTAATTCCCAACCTGCTCTCTCGTGATATTTTATTTATCAAAAGCATTTTAATTGAATCAACTTTTCTTTTTAAACAGATTTTGGTTGCGGTTTTGGTCTCTGGTTGAGATCTCACATGTATTTTCTTTTGTTTCATCATCAATTATAATAATAATAATAATAATTTATATACAGGGTGATTTAAAACTTGGGGTACAAACTTTTAGGGGGAGGCAGAGAACGTAACAAACCATATTGACATCACAGGATACACTAAGATTAAGTAATGACAAGACAATAAATGATGATAAAATCTTTATTTGGCCTTCTAGCACATTAGTATAGTGATTCTGATCATATATTCCTATGTGAATATAATTTTTTTATGCTCTATGCCTTTTCTAGAAGTATGTATCCTGAGTTTTGAATCACTTTGTATACAGGTATATATACTTAACTGTCAATTATACATAAAGCTATTGAATGCCCTTTTCAATCATTTACATTCTACCAACTGGCGGGGTTGGACTCTCATTGGGGCAGATGCCTCAAAATACGGCCTTTGGAGTGGTTCTTCTGGCTCATACGGTCAAGGAAACTTGGTCGCTACACACGAGCTGCAGCGTCTTCAGTGCGGAGGCTCTTGGCATCCAACGGGCAGTTAATCTCGGCGCCCGTCTTAACACTCCGACGGCCATTGTCTCGGATGGCAAATCAGTTTTCCAGGCAGTCGCCAACGTTAATTTTTCCTCTCCAGCGGTTATTATTGACCTAGCTGCAACCATCAGCTCTCACCCAACACCCCTTGAAATTGGGTGGACCCCTGGTCACGTTGGCATCAACATAAATGAAGAGGCAGACCAAGCCGCTAGCCATGACACTCCCATCGGCTCCTGGTGGAGACCTCTCATGGCACGCGACCTCATACGCCAGATGTGGGAATCAATCATCTGCAACTACACCGATACCTGGTCTACCATTCTTCGGGGAAAAGGTCGCGACCATCTTTGACCTTTTGCCCCTTGGATATACCACCACGCCTTGTCTCGCCACACAGAAACCCTATTGGCTAGACTTTGAACAGATACGGCCCCCCTGAACAATTTCCTCTACTCTCGACGCCAAAGCGCCTCGCCAGATTGCCCCCACTGTGGCTCGCCAGAAACTTCCGCACACTATTGGCTTGTTTTCCCAAAATACACACGGGCCCGCCAAGAGCTAGACCGTCTTTTAACCGTGGACCTGACGATCGTCCGTACCTTAACTCTGATATACTGTCCTCATACCGACCTTCCTCCTTGCCAACATATCGAAATCTTGGAGCGTTTTGTTCACCGCACCAACCGCTTTACCTAAATTCAAAGCGGAGTGATTCAGAGAAAAAGCCAATAGGCTAGAGTCTCCATATTAATAAGAAAGAAAGAAGAAGAAAGATACATAAAGCTAATAATATTTATAAAGAATTATTATAAGTAAAAAAACAAATGTAGAGAACTTTGCAAAATACTAGGGTAAATTTTTATATTATACCTTTTTGACTGAGCTACATTAAAATTAATTCAAATTAAATCTTCTGAAAATATTTGATACTTTATTTGCAACATTGGCCCAATGCACATGACAACTTCTGACCCTAAACTTTAAAATCCACCTGAAAAAAAGGTGTACTTTTTGCCCAATAATCAGGAGCAAAAAAATTAAATAAGTATGTTTTATGTGCAGGAAATGCATGCAATAACCACTGAAAAAAATACACAAAAATAGTTTTAACATGTGCCGGTTACAATGAAAATGATTAGCCTTGTTATATGAGTGAAAACATAAATTAAAATAACCACTACCTACAAAATAGTTTTTGTTGTCTATATATGGGGTCTTGCTAGATTCTAATGGTATCTAATTGCTACTAGACCTCAAGGGAAGAGCCAGAGGTTAAGAACTGATCCAAGAGTGAGATAAACGGGTGTAAAGTAATGATTGAGAACCCTTCTAGATAGTTTTGTGGAAATTTTATTTTTACAAATGTCATCTTGATGTTCTAATATACTGCTTTAATTTTCTACTTGTGGTCCTGAGATATATAGTACCAGAATGAGTCCATCGAATATTACAATGTTGTCCCACGCATATCCTTTTTCCATAAAGGGATCTAAGCCAACTCAAGAAAATCAAAGAATAAACCTAAAATCCATCAATGCCACAATCTCATCACAAATCAATGCCACAATCTCAGAAATACACTTGACCCAATGATATTGAACACCTAAGCCAATCAACAAAGAATGTAATGCAGTGAAACAATTTCCTTTAAAAGAGAACTTAAGATTGATCATTTCGAACAAAGTTAAACAGTTTGTATTCTGCAAAACTGCAATTTTCTACTTAGAGCAAACCAATTTTTTTTCAAATTTGGATCAGTATTATTGTCTTCAGGCCCAGTTCTGCATACAACAAGGAAGGTTATCACCTTACCAGAAATTACTTCATTTCTTACTGACCATTTAAAGCCCCCCACTAATATAGTGTTTCCAAGATTATTTTTTGAAGCAAAAGTATATAAACCAGAGTGGCCATTGCACTTTTTAGTAACTAAACACATGTCCTATGTATTTCCTAGAAAAAGAAATGGCAAAATTTCTAAAATTCCTAATGTTTCACTTACTGCTAGTTGTTACTTGTACATCAGCCATCAAAGCGAAAATGATAATCAACAAAAATCTAAATACTTTATCATTAAACTATTAACGGTTTTTCAAGATTTCTGTTGTTTTCTTTTATCCATCAGTGCTATAGTTTGAGGCAGTAATGCTGGCAAATGTGCTACTACTAAACAAAAGTTCATCTAGGCAGAAAGTTTAAGAAATACAAGAATCTCTACACCTAATAACAGAAAACAATTATTTTTGTTTTAATAACCAAATTTATCATAAAAAACAGGTAGTACCAATGGGCTCTCCACTATCAGCAATACTTGCAGAGTTAATTATGAGAAATATTGAATTTAGAGTTTTTTTCTAATAGTAATGCAGTATCCACTACTATTAGATATGTACATGATATATTACTAGCATGGGATGGAACTAATTTTGAACTTTCACAGTTTCTACAGCAATTATTCCATATATACACTTCAATCAATTTTACTGTAGAAAAAGAAAAAGGCAGCAGCATCAGTTTTCTAGATCTCCTGACACAAAAAATGCCTCAAGGAATTTGTTTCAGTGTACATCACAAGTTTAATCTGTGTTCTCACTGGTTAATGTCCTCACCAAGTTTAATCTATACTGGCCACTTCATTCTATCTGTCTACATAAATAATGCCGTACTGCACTTATTTGTAGAGCCTATGTATTATCATCATTGCAACATTTGGTACAAAAGAAGTTACAATTTATTAATATGGCAATGTGTAGAACAGGATAAACTTATGTTAAATTCAAGTGCATTCACACCTGTCTGCAAAAATCTTTCTTCTCATCATCAAAATTAGAAATAATAATAAAGGATGGCATTTATATAAGTACTTCCATCCCATATCTTGAATCTGTCCTTATGCATTACTAGAAGGTTTTGAAAATCAGGGTTTAACCTTCCAATAAAACCACAGTTACCCTTTCACAGAATACTATGTAATGTCAGGGACAAATTAACTACAGGTAACCATGTTATACAGGGATGGTACCAATTCTCGAACCGTGTTAGAGTGAATCCATGCTATAGAAGTGCCGTGCTATACGGGGGTTACCTGTACATTAGAAAAATCATGTGTATATGTAATTCCCTTACAACACCAAAAAAATTATGCAAAAACAAAACAGTGATATATATTGGGGTCACAAGTATAAAATTGCAAAGCAGAATATTAAAACATTAAGATGACATTTGTAAAATAAAATTTCACAAAACTATCTAGAAGGGTTTTCAATCATTACTTTACATCCCTGTGGAACGAATCTTCCATCCTCGTACAATGTGAGGATTACAACTGTTTATTCATCTGGGAAACATTATTAATTGAGAAATTAATGCCATGTAATAGCCCACTCTAGAGTTCCCAAAAATATGGATTTCACTATTCAATAATTTAAAAATTTAAATCACAGCTGCCAATAATTTTCAATTATAATTTGACTGTTATTTAAATGTGCAAGTTTAATAGCACACCATTTAGATTTAACACGTGCACTCCAATTAGAAAACATTAACGTTAATGTTAAAATTCGTTTCAATGTTCTAAAATTTGTTCTGGTTTCAGCTGAAGAAGACATTCTATACATGTGAAATATTTTGTACTTGTTCTGTGTTTTACTCATCAAAACCTTATTAACTCCAATAGACTCTAGTTTTCATAAACTTTTATCTGATTCTGGTATGAAAAATTAGTTATTTCTTTCAGAATCTGATTGTTGTATTGTTATCAGAATTAGCAAGTCTGAAAACGTATAAGTTAAAATACATTTATAAAACTTCATTTATTGGATTAGAATTTAGTTATAGTTATTATCTTCAGGTATACAGATATTTTTAAACCATCTTTTTATACTCAATATGTAGTTATAATGTGTTACTATTATTAATTACTCAAAGTACAATAACTTTAATTTAATTAGATATAAAATGCATTTTAAAATTTACAGGGTGTTAATTTCACACATGATATATGGACTAGAAATTTAAATTGCCAGTGTTTATATCTTCAAGTAGACATAGTGTAATTAATAAATCCTCAATTTATATTTTTTAAAAATTATTTTAACATGTTCTTTTAGTAAAACTAGTAAAACCAGAATTTCCACTAATCATAGTCTTATTTACTGACTCTTCTTAATGTTGCTAATCAGTTATTGTTATCAGTGATTACAATAAACAGATTTTACTGTATTTTTTTGTTTATCTAAAAAAATAAAATAATTAAAATTTCTTTTAATCATATGTTTTAAATAACATGAATATTTTTTAGGCGATACAGAAGTGAATGAAGTTAATGTTTTGGATGAGTTGCTTGAAAATGCTGATGATGATGATTTAACAGCTGAGTTAAATAATGAAGAAAGAAAGCAAGGTATCATATGATAAATATATTTTATTTTAAGATTTATAATTTTAACTGATTGTATATATATTCACTAATGTAGCAGATATTTAAAGAAAAACATATATATTTTTGTGTTCACATTCAATAAATGTTAAAAATTTAGTAATTAGTGCATCATTTGTACTAAAATACCATTTAAAACTAGTCTATTTATGCATAAGTTACACAGAATATAACAATGTATTTATTTTTTAAATATTAGTGAATATAAGCAATCTGTATGGCTGAATTGTATATAAAGTAAATTTAGCAATATTTCAGGATTATTTTATAGAATATTTAAAAATAACATTTTCAGTTATCATAATTTTATTGTAATATGGTACACTCATGTTAATCTGTCTTTTGAACTATCCAGCATACCTCTCCGGTTTGATTGTCATGCATCCTGTTTTTCTGTTTACTTGGATTTTATTTCTGTAGACAGTATTGCATGTCAGCATATATTCTTATTTGCACATCTGCATCCAAAAAGAATCTGTTTTGAAGAATGACAAGTCATATCATTTATTGCCTTTAGGTTTTTTAGTCTCGATAATCAAGCACTCTTGCTAATCTGGCACTCCTCTGTGCAAACAGTGGCTGGATTAGCAAGAGTCCAGTGTAGTTTTCAAAATTCAGATGCTATAAATAACGGAAAAATAATTTGCGATTTTGTTAAGCTTAAGTTTCTTTTAATTTAAAAGCTGTTTTTTTTACTTGAATATTTTAATGATGAAAGTTGGCTTTAAAACACAAATATGTATTTATTGATATCTGCATATCTATAAAGATTTTATGTTATGGTCATCTCAAATTGACAAAGGATGCAACTGTCTTGGAGCTCAAATTTACATTTAAAAAACTTTGAATGTATAAAAAAAAAAATGAAGTCATAGGAATAAGTTGACTCAAGATACTGCTGCAAAGATAAAATACTTTCTTCATCTACATATGAAGCACGGTACATTCTTGTTTTTTAAAATAGTGTCCAAGCTTCAGACACAACTCCTGGCTTACTTGGAGATGACCAGTGATGGTTAATTCCTTTTCTATTGTTGTGGCGTTACAACACATCACCAAAAGCTACAGTAAGAACCATGTACTTTCTGGAAGAAGATTAGGTATTAAATCATCATCAGACACAAAAGATATTGTGAAAGAGAAAATGGAAAAAGATCTGATAATATAGGTAGAAGATTTCACACAAAAGAATATCAGTAGATGAAATATCATCAAGCAGAAGGCATTAAGAATTTATAAGCAGATTAAAGAAATGAAACTGAGTTTAGTTAGACAGAAAGTATGAATTTTCTGCAAGTTCAGATTGGATAAACTGTTTTCTTCAAAGGTTGCACTTCATAATATAAAGATCATAGGTGAAATTGTATATGAAGATGAGCAGGCTGGACAGATTTCAGAAAGTTTTAAAGAATTTCATCCAAATTTAGCCAAAATTATTGAAGGTAGTATGGTGGCTAAGCTCTTATCAAGTTTGGAATGCAGATGAAACTGATACTTTTTAGAAAAACGTGCCAAGTAGAACTTACAATGCAGAATCAAGGAAAACTGCTAGTAGTACTAAAGTAGCAGAGGATTGTGTGTTCTTTCTTTTTGTAGCAATGCTTCAGAAGATTGTACATTGTACATTGAAACTGCTGTTTGTCAATTGATCCCTAAAACCTTGGTCAATGAAAGTTTAGATTTGAATAGATTGCAAATTTATTGAATGGCAAGTAAAAATATCTCAATGACAATACAAATTTTTACAGAATGACTCAATAAATGTTTTATCCCAGAAGTTAGATATTATATGGAGGAAAAAATTTTGAATCTAAAGTTTTACAGATTGTAAATAATGTATCCAGTAATATGATTTTGGAACACTTCATATATTGATCTTTTAATACAACACAAAATGATGATGTAATTATTGTAACTCTTACTTGATCATTTCTTTTTAAATTAATTTTATAGATATCAAAGTTCTTATTGATAAAAACTTATGTAAAATAAAACAGTAATAATTAGTTTATTGTTTGTAATTCTATATTCTCAAATAAATTTTTCATGTTGGAAGTTCATACAAATAACTTGTTAGTTTCTAAAAAAGGGACTGGGTGGGAAGCCCTAATTATGTTAGTGTGGAGAAAAGAAATTTTACAAAAATCATCCCTGATTAATAAGGATTTGTTGTTCAACACTTCTGCTGTTTTCAACCAAAAGGTGTGGTTGAACTATGATTTTCTGCTGAAAGCAAAACAGATATACTTTAAATCACTCAAAGACTTCCAGACATTGAATGAATGGTCATTACTCCTCACTGTAAAAAAGTCTCAAATGTTACATGAGGTAAGAATTGACTGCTGTTGGGCTCAATTTATAAACTAAAAACCAGATACAGTAAAACCTTGTTATTTCAATATCAGATAATTCAAAGTCAAGTCTAGTCCCCAGCCAAGAGAATGCATATATTTTGTTTAGGTAATTTGAACTGTGCATACAATGAAATTTGAAGTCATTACCTGGTCTGGTGATACTCAAAAATATCGTTTAATTCTTCCATTATATTATGTGTTTATAAGAAAGTTTTCATGCTCAAATGATGGTTTTACCAATTACACATTGTACATTTATTGGACATCTGTTCAAGGCCATTTGGACATTGTTCACGTTGCCAATAAAGAGTGATTTTTTTTATTTTTATGGAAGAAATCTGTTTGCCATTCAATTATTTTGGATATTTTTTGCAAAAATCTATTGTTTCAATAATTCCAAAGTCTGTTAAATACACATGCATATTCACAATAGCTTTAGCCCTTAATAGAGCTTGTTTTTATCAGTTCACATGATTTTTCCTAATCTTGAATTCAAGACAAAATTTGTGGTAATTCTTATTGGAGCACTAAAGCTTCTTTTATACGTTATTTTCAGATCTTACTTTGAATGTAATTTGGTTACATTTCCGTTGTCTTCTTTAAGTTTGTGCAAACTGACAATTTTTTCAAAATAGCTTAAATTACTAAGTAATAAATCATAATATTAACTCATTTGTAAATGAACATGTGAAATTATATAAGATAGCATCATAATTTTATTTGAGAATTACAAAAATCCTTGATTCAAAAAAGTTTGGATAATTCAGTTTTTTTTTCCTTGAGTTTTGAAATAACAAGGTTTACTATAGTGGTAATTTGAAATGTGAAAACATTTCAAAAATTGTGAAAGATGCTCTAGCATTGTTGCGTGATAATGGTGATATTGAATGAGGATTTTCAATTTATTCACAAATTGAATGGACTTAAAACCTTTAATGATGAACATGCATTAAATTCAGTAATGATATGCAAGAGTGCTTTAAAGCCAGACAAATAAGCTCAGGTTAGTTAGTTACAACAGTTAATGGCTCTAGCTATTTGTGCTAAATATAAGAAATATTTAAATGCTAAGAATAAACAAGAGATGATGATAAAAGAAGTGGAGTTAAGAAGAACTGAAAAAGAAAGATGTGATAAATTACAAAATGACAAGAAATTACTAGAAAAAGATGATGAAAAACTAAAGAATTTAAAAAAAATAGCAGATGAAACATTTAAAACAGCAAATGATTTACTTTGAAAAGCAACTGCTTTTAAAGATTTTTTACAAATTGGCATAGCACAAGCTATGCTAATAGGAGCTGAAACAGCATATAGGAAAGAAAAAGAAAAACAGAAGAAAATATCTTAACTTGAATCTACTGTAAATAAAAAGGGATATTATCTCAGTCTTGGAAGAGAAACCTTCAAAAAATAAATCCAAATTATAAGACTAATTGTATTTTACATTTGTAAAGTTAACATATTTATGATATAAAAATCTTGTCACTTAAAATAATATTTAGTTACAACATGGATTATAGAAAATATAATTATATTTTAATAAATTTTAAAAATAATATGTAGCTACTTGGTTCTGTTTTTAATTTGAATAAGTTCTGAAACCCTATTTTATAATGGAAGGGACAATTATAATTCTACATTTAAAATATACTAAGTGAAAGTTCCAATATATTTTGAATAAACTAGATAATGATAAAACACTAATAGATGTTGATGTGTGAAAGACATATACTATTATAGCTTGTATCAAACATGCAGGATCAGCATTATCAGAATTAAAACTGTCAGCATTGAATGTAGGTTAGAAGTTATTTGACCAGAAGGAGTTAAAAGCAAAGATGCTGCATTCCCACATACAGGGTCTGTACAGACCTGGAAAGTCAGGCAATAAGAGTTTTAGCAGAAAAAGTCAGGGAATCTGCAAATATCATGGAATTCATCTGTTGCTCTTGCTCCTTTTTGATTCAAACACATGTTTAAATTTGGTTTAGTATAGATATAGGGAGTATAGTCTACAAAAACAGAACTAAACAAATTGCNATAACTGTGTAGGTTGAAGAAATTGCAAAGCAAATATGAACAGAAATGTAAGAAACATATATCATTGGAAAGAAAAATTTAAAAGGAATCAGAAATATGTAGCTACTTGGTTCTGTTTTTAATTTGAATAAGTTCTGAAACCCTATTTTATAATGGAAGGGACAATTATAATTCTACATTTAAAATATACTAAGTGAAAGTTCCAATATATTTTGAATAAACTAGATAATGATAAAACACTAATAGATGTTGATGTGTGAAAGACATATACTATTATAGCTTGTATCAAACATGCAGGATCAGCATTATCAGAATTAAAACTGTCAGCATTGAATGTAGGTTAGAAGTTATTTGACCAGAAGGAGTTAAAAGCAAAGATGCTGCATTCCCACATACAGGGTCTGTACAGACCTGGAAAGTCAGGCAATAAGAGTTTTAGCAGAAAAAGTCAGGGAATCTGCAAATATCATGGAATTCATCTGTTGCTCTTGCTCCTTTTTGATTCAAACACATGTTTAAATTTGGTTTAGTATAGATATAGGGAGTATAGTCTACAAAAACAGAACT